GCCCTACTGTATCTGCAACGTTGATTTCCTGCCCACAGTGTTTTCTTGCTCTTCAAATCACTTGCAAGCTTTTAGTGCAAGAATTGGCAAAGTGCTCTGCAAATGGTTTGATGATGGATTCCTTGATGTGCTTCACATCTTAAGTGATACTTCACCCAAAATGCATCTTTTAAGTCAGTTTGAAAGGTGTCTGTAGTTAATCTCTCACAAAGAACAACTTGGATTCATTTCACTCACAATGGATTACAGTTGTGATAAGTGTTTGTGGCAGATTATAAATTATCAAACAGCTATAAGATCCAGAGCACATGTTCATGAATAAAGCTTTTAATTAGATGTAACAACCACCATTTCAACAACCAGCATGTCTTCTTCAGATGAAGGCCATGTGTTGCATGCATAATCCAGCTCTTTGCTGTCTCTCTATACCAAGGCTACTCAACTATATCTGTCAGGGGGCCACATTTTTAGAAAGCTAAGGGCCTGGGGTCCAAACATTTTATCTGAGCTATTATTGTCATTATGAATGTACACTTGACACAGCATACCACCGCATTTTCAAAATGTTTATTTCACTACATTGCAGTTTACATTAACTATTTTTTACATTTTTACAACCTCTACATGCAGTCTCTCTTGTCCTCTCTTCTGTGTAAACAGCCTTCACTTTCACTAAATGGTTGTCACATGACTATTGGTCTCAGCTAAGTCATTCATGGCTCGGCAGTTGCACTGAGGAGCGCAAAACTTTTAAATGAATAAAGTCATTTTCAAGAAATAACACTATGTTAAGCTCAGATTTAGTTATTTTTCCTGACAGAATTGTTAGTCTCACAAGATGCATTTAATTACCATCAGAAATTCCAAAATCCAAAGATAATTTCTGTTTGTAAGAGTTTCTAGCTACGATAAATTACGTAATTTTGGTGATTTTTTTTTCAAAGAAAACATACCTTTCAAACCTGCTGGCAGGTTGTCGGGTTCAGAGACAACTAGTCCAAGTGCACAGGAGCACTCTGCTGGCTCGAAGTATTTATTGTGGCAGAATGTTTTTTATTTGCACACTTTTATTCATGTTCAGATTTCAAATTTTAGTTATTCATAAAGAGAACTGATAAGAGGCTGGAAATGGCCCACGGGCCGCCTGTTGAATTGGCCTGGTCTACACGCTCATTGGGCCTCATGCAGGAAGCGATATATAAACAAAAGTCCATATATTTGTAAATATCTGCGATTCGTTCTTATTTTGTAAGTACTTGGATTCGCCAGTGTTTTCTGTTTTGATTTTTTCCATAGGAAAGAAATTTAAAACATGATGAGAATGCGTATTGGTTTTGTAGAGGGTTATGGTGTGGATGGGCTGGGTTAGTAAGGGCATGTAATATTACTCTTGCAGTAGTTTCTTTTTCATATTGTTATTAGCCTATTATGCCCTTTTGTGTGTTGACAATCAAACAATGACCATTTATGAACCCTGCTGTTGGGTTATTGTAATTTAATTGTTTACTCAGTAAAAATTTGATCACAAAAAAAAGATGAGAAAGGTAAGAAAAAAAACGTCTCATATCCAGTCCACAGACTGTTTATCTAACTCAAGAAAACACAAGTTTAAGGTTGAGGAACATAAAAAGAAAACACACTGCATGAATGTCATGTAAATAAATTTAGATTATTATACGTTTACTTGTGAGACTGCAGCCCCCTCCTATCCTCCTTCAGTTATCACCATGGAGCGCATGGCTTGGACAATGCAGGCTTTTTTGCTTCCATTTTCATGTCAGACCACTTTCTTTTATTTCAGTCACTGTGCGTTCTCCCTTTGCTGTGTTTTTGATTCTTCTGTAATGTCAGTACTGATGCACTGCAAAATCACACTTACTTTGTTTAACTTAATTTAACAATATATTGATTTCACTACCGCTGAAGTTCCTCTACTTCCAGCCTTTTTTGGTGGCATCTCTTCAATTCATGGGCATGTGGCAGAGTATTTGCACAAGGCACAACACCTGCCCTCATATAGTGTTTTAGGAGGTGCTACCTATACTAAAAACAATTGGCCATGCACCACCAATGTATGATTAAGTGGGACTCATCATTCAGCACACCTGGGTGAGCAGAGTTGGATGGTTAAGAACATTTGGTGCATCTGGAGTTGACTGCTCTTATTTTTTTTCTTAACAGAAAATAAAGAGAAAATAGAGGAATGTATTGTTTGCTGCATGAGGTCCAATATGTTCCAAATACTTTTTGTCAAGTTATGGCTAAACATATCGATCAAACACAATAAACAAGCCTCTAGCTCTGACACGTAAAGGTACATCAAAACATCCACAGTTTGGCAGCAGGATGTTTCATGATGCTGCTTTTCTTTAACTTTAGCCTTTTGCCCATTAATTAACTGCACTCTGTAAAAAGCTACTTACATTAAAATGTGGAAAAAACTCAGGAGGTATATACTGTTAATTCAAGCTCAAACAGTCCTGTTTTGAATTGGGCTAGCAAGCGTTAACAACTATCACGCTGTTTTGCAGGGCTGGAAAAACACAAAATGATTTAATTATTTTTCATAACGAAACTTTGACTCTGAACTTAATGTAAAGTAAGAAATATTTAATACTGTATTTGCCACAAAATTTCTTTATCTACAAAAAATTCTAAGTGTTATTTTAAAGTATACTGCTTGTCCCTTCCAAAAATTGAGCACTTCTTAGTATCTAGCATCCCAAGCTAGAGAAGAGGACAAAATAATTAATTGGTCAGTGTTCCCCAAAATGATCCATATGATTGTTCCAAAAATACCTTTTATGAGTATTTGTGACCTGCCACCTGCCACTGGTAAAGTTTAAGCAACCAAAACTACTTGGTTAGGGTAAGGAAGAGATTATCTTCATGGTTAAACCCGCAAACCAAAACATTACTCCAGTGAGACACACTGGGAGGCACGCTACAGTAAGCTAGCTTGTTGCAAATGGTTAGTAACGCCATTACCAGACCAGGAATAGAAGATGAACTAAGGTCTCTTGACAGGGTTGGGTTTGGAGCCACTTCAGTGTTGCTGTACATTATTAGGGCGATGGCGAGAGAGAGTGTTGGATATAAACACACTGAGCCAAAGCACAAGCCACCGTGCAGCTACAGACACTCATCAGAGTCTGTAACACAGTAACATAGGTGAACCCTGAGCCGAAGCACAGGCCACCGCACAGCTACAGACTTACTTTAGCACCTAAGCCAGTGAAACACATAGTCTCTGGTTCCACAGCACACACACACCCCTGGAACCAGGGCACGAGAGCCACTGTGTGGCTATAGCCTCTTCTTCAGCAGCCAGTATTATCACGAAGCACACACCCACAGCTGTGAGCAGTGACTGCTGGCAGGCTGGGTAGCCGATTTGGACAGAAAGATTGAAAGGTACTTTAGTGACGGCTGTCTGGCTGGTGGTTTTATGATTGTGGTATTTAACAGACATGTTTAATCATGTATTTATTACATTGAAAGAGCCAAGAGAGCTTGTGGGACAAAGCAAACTTGCTGCAACACACGGTGGGCAATAGAAACAACACTGTTAGTATGCGCTTTAATGTCAGTAGTAATGTCGTTTTTATTTAATAGGTAGGGGTTATGCTAATGATGGCTCCAGTACGTCATTGAGCATGCTTGTTGAAAAAATCCTGGACACAGAAGACACGAAATCATTTGCCCGGATTTTAACAAGCCAAATTATGTTAGTTTTCATACATTTAAAAATGGTAAAATCAAGGAACTTAATCTGGCATTTCTAGTTTTTGCTGTATTGAAAACGTACCGAGGCGTGACAGCACTGTGTTATATTGAACAGAACCGTGAATTTTTTTAGCTGTCTTTAGTCACAACTGCGAGAGGTTACTTAAAGAAATACTGACAAAGGTCATTTTAAACATAATAAACATAATAAATAACTGGACTATTCTGCATGTTTATTGTATGTTAACAGTGGACCAACAGGACCATCAGTTTAGACTAATTTAAAGAAATGAACTAAAATTATTGACATTAACATGAACGTAACCCAGATAATAGGCGGCTTATTGAACATTAATAACATTTGTCAGCTGAATGTCAGCTAGCTGAAAGTCTGTTGAAACACTTCTTGTTGGCAGTCAGCACACACACCATCAACAGTGGACTAATGAGTCTAGATGAAAAGCTAATGTTGAGGAAATGGCAAGGAGACTCATTTATAATTTAGCTTCAGGTGGATAATTTTCTAATTGCATCAGGAAACCCATTAGCTTTTACATCAGACAATCTCATCTCAGAGAAATGGTGTCTCAAACACAAGCGAGAATCCTTCTGACTCAATGACTGCATTTACCCTAAATGGCCTGTTGGATTTAAAGAGAGGACAAGTGCGATGATTCACCGGTGATAAGTTCCTGTTTGAATGTTGGAAGTTGCAGTAGTGCACAATCATAGTTTAAGCACAGTGTTTGGTCTTGAACTTGGAAACAGCAAAAATCTCAACTCAAAGGCCCCTTACTATCTACTATCTGGGGCTTTCAACTGTAATATTATTTATAGCATTAAATACAGCTCATTTTCATCTATAGTCCCCCAACTGATTGGGTTCCCTCAGTGTCATGGACCTGTATTTTCATGGAAATGTTCAGGTTTTTCACTAATAATTTGATAACTGTTGATATAATAAAGTTTTACTGAGAAGGGGAGAGAAACTTTCATTGAAACAGTTCTTCCTATAATAGGGCTTCTTTTGCAGTTATCAGTAAAACAAATCAATTAAAATACCACAGGTTATTTTTTTATTTATGTAGTTAATGTACAGGACAGACTTTGGGTCAATTTAATATGTTTATAAGTAATCACAGAAATGTTACTTGTTTTGTACAGTGGTGAGACTCTGTGAAATCAAAGAGCACAGAAGAAAATATTGATTAATCTTCCACCATGGATCCACTGTTTATCTTACAAAGGTCAAACTGTTTGTTTGTCTGGAACAGGTGTGACCATGAAGCTGATGGATGAGGTCGCCGGCATTGTAGCGGCTCGGCACTGCAACACCAACATTGTCACTGCCTCTGTGGATGCAATCAACTTCCATCGCAAGATCCACAAAGGTGAGGATGACACCAAGAATAAACTCAGAGTGTTAAGTCAGTGATACATGAAAATATCCAGAAGTTAAGACTTGGGCAGTATCACAGTGTTATGGTACACTGGGATGTGTTCATTTGTATGGTTTCGTTTGATATATCATTTTAAGCACTGCACACCACTGCTGTCATATAGTGTATACCCTGGTGGAATTCTAAGAAAGGTATTAAAAAAACATACACCACCCCAGCCTAATATGTACAGTACCTCTCCACAGCATGCACTGCTGTGCTGGCAATGGGCTGCAGGAAGTTTCATGATGCTGCTTTTCTTAAACTTTTTCCTCTCGCTCATTAATGAACTGCACTGTCTAAAAAGCAAATTATATTATAATATGGAGTCCAGTGTGGAGTCTAATCCAGAGTCTATAAATTCAGCTTTAGACAGTGTTGTTTTAAATTGGACTAGCCAACTGTCACACTGTTGCTAATCAAGGCCAGTGGTGTTTTGTAAGGCGGCTGCTATATCTGGAAAAACACACCATTGTTATGATTTAACAATTTTCCATTACCAAGCTCTGTCTTTGAACTGCTCACTGTTTAAAGTGAGAAATCATTTGTACTCTGTTTGCCACAATGCTCCTCAGTCTGTGAGGACTCTAAGCCTCTTATGTTAAAGTTCATTCAAGGATTTTAACATCACCATTATCCACTTAGCCTCTGACATCTTAATGGGAAAAAGAGTGTCCACTCACGAAAGTGGAAGCATGTATTCTTGCTTTTTCATTCCGAAAATTGAACACTGGGTTAAAGGTTTTATTGGCAGCACAGTTTGGACAATCCAAAGTGCTCGTCAGGACGGTTAGGAGCACAGATAAAGAACATAAATGTGAAAAGGAACAAACATGTCCTCCCACAGATACAAACCCACAGACAAACAAGATCAGAACAAGAAGAGTGTAGACATTTTGTGCATGTTTCTCAAAGCTGGAGTAGACTTGGGAAGACCCACTATAAATAAGCTATACACTCCTTTCTCATTGCCAGTAGACTAGAGGCGTTTGTTGTCACAGACAGGTCAAAAAACAGGTTAGCAAATAGCAGAAAGCAGCTTGGAGGCCAGTGAAAATGTTAATATTTTACTGCTGAATTGCACACAACAGAAAAAGTTTTGATGAATATGCCTTGAGTAAGTTAGACTGAAATGGTTTTAAAATAAAGATATATATGATAATGATATTAAATACTGTCACCGAGAGGAGATTTTAAAGGGCAAACATTATTTTGACAGTGAGATTGTGGACTAAAAAACTTCATTAATTCAATTCAATCAATCAATCAATTTTATTTATAAAGCCCAATATCACAAATCACAATTTGCCTCACAGGGCTTTACAGCATACGACATCCCTCTGTCCTTATGACCCTCGCAGCGGATAAGGAAAAACTCCCCAAAAAAACCCCTTTAACGGGGAAAAAAACGGTAGAAACCTCAGGAAGAGCAACTGAGGATGGAATTCTAAAAATATTGTTACTACAGTTTTCTCATTCGTCTTGTTCATCAGTCTTTTTATGGAATCTAAATATGTCAAAAGTGACTGAAAGCAGCCTCTTCAAAGTGGTGTACAATAGTGTGTTACATTTATGGTTTTCAGTCTTTCTCGGCTCAGTGTCTGTTTCATCTGTTCATGTGCTGGAGATGATGTGATCCAGACATCCAGTGCTAACATTCAGATGTTATGATTATGTCAGGATATGATGTTAACAATGGACCAGCTAAGTCTTTCCTCAGTGTTGAATTATGAAGTGGAAAGAACATTTTATACTTCACAGCTCAGCAAAAGTATACCAGGTCAGCTGTAGGTTTATGCCATTTACAGTACATGTATTTTCAAATACAGGTAACTTTATTCAAGCAGGATAATTCACTCAACCCAAAAGTGGGTTTTCAAGGAGGCCTGAGTGAAGAATGAGTGGCTGCGAAGGATGTGAGGGAGGGGGTGTTTAAAACATTTACAACACACCTTTCTGGGTTTCAGGACCAGACAGCTGAACAGTACAGATTGGTTGAGATCCATGTCCACAGCTTTTCAGCTGCTTCTAGTCGCTCCAGTTGCTGCCTCCGTCTGTCCTCTGAGTTTAGGTGGTGGTGACATGATTTCCCCTGGCTTCCACAGTGACTTAGGTGTTATGTCACCAGTAGATTTCCCATTTTGCTGAAGGTGGTCAGACAAAAACCACAGGAGATTGGCTTAGGAAAAGAAGGGTCAAGGATCAAAACAAAAAAAGACACCCAAACCGACTGGCATTGTAGGCTGCACCTGATCACGTGTTTTTATTTTCATTATTTAGCCAGCTAAATGTAGATGTTATGACATCACTTTGAACTATTTTCAGCACATCTGTAGTCAAGGTTAAAGTCAAACATGTTAAAGGATCCAAATGAGAAACATCAGGCTTCATTGTGTTTCAGTTCAGTCTCTCACAGTTAAAGAGCAGAAAGATCTGTTTCATCATTTGGCACTAACATTTAACAATCACACACGGAGGAATGAATTAAAGCAGCTAGAATGTTAAAAAAAAATTGTCCACTAACAGCAGCAGTTTTAATGTTATCATGAGCCTAATAAAAGATTAATTATTTGGTCCAGTATCAGGTCTTTTAGGCAGGAGTCTCTCACAGGGCGGGCACTGCCACATTACCTACTATACCAGTTGGATATTTGAGACTACAGATGTCAAAGTTAAGGGCATATGGTTTGGTTGGGGTTTGCCAATGCCAGCTAAGACAGTATGACCAACCTGGGAAGCCACAGTCAGGGCAAAAAACCCAAATCATATGATTTCTCCATTGATATGTAAAAGCCATCTGGATTCAAGGAGACCAGGCAGACTAATGATTCGAGGCACTGTAAGAAAAACCGCAGAAAGGCAAAGGCAGATTGTTTTAAAGCACAATTTAAATGCTTTCAAAAATAATAAATATGAAATAAGATTTCAGAAATCAACTTAAGAGCAGTCAATCGAAATTATATAAATATATACAGTACAGGCCAAAAGTTTGGACACACCTCATTCAATGCGTTTTCTTTATTTTCATGACTATTTACATTGTAGATTCTCACTGAAGGCATCAAAACTATGAATGAACACATGTGGAGTTATGTACTTAACAAAAAAAGGTGAAATAACTGAAAACATGTTTTATATTCTAGTTTCTTCAAAATAGCCACCCTTTGCTCTGATTACTGCTTTGCACACTCTTGGCATTCTCTCCATGAGCTTCAAGAGGTAGTCACCTGAAATGGTTTTCCAACAGTCTTGAAGGAGTTCCCAGAGGTGTTTAGCACTTGTTGGCCCCTTTGCCTTCACTCTGCGGTCCAGCTCACCCCAAACCATCTGGATTGGGTTCAGGTCCGGTGACTGTGGAGGCCAGGTCATCTGCCGCAGCACTCCATCACTCTCCTTCTTGGTCAAATAGCCCTTACACAGCCTGGAGGTGTGTTTGGGGTCATTGTCCTGTTGAAAAATAAATGATCGTCCAACTAAACGCAAACCGGATGGGATGGCATGTCGCTGCAGGATGCTGTGGTAGCCATGCTGGTTCAGTGTGCCTTCAATTTTGAATAAATCCCCAACAGTGTCACCAGCAAAACACCCCCACACCATCACACCTCCTCCTCCATGCTTCACAGTGGGAACCAGGCATGTGGAATCCATCCGTTCACCTTTTCTGCGTCTCACAAACACACGGCAGTTGGAACCAAAGATCTCAAATTTGGACTCATCAGACCAAAGCACAGATTTCCACTGGTCTAATGTCCATTCCTTGTGTTTCTTGGCCCAAACAAATCTCTTCTGCTTGTTGCCTCTCCTTAGCAGTGGTTTCCTAGCAGCTATTTGACCATGAAGGCCTGATTGGCGCAGTCTCCTCTTAACAGTTGTTCTAGAGATGGGTCTGCTGCTAGAACTCTGTGTGGCATTCATCTGGTCTCTGATCTGAGCTGCTGTTAACTTGCTATTTCTGAGGCTGGTGACTCGGATGAACTTATCCTCAGAAGCAGAGGTGACTCTTGGTCTTCCTTTCCTGGGTCGGTCCTCATGTGTGCCAGTTTCGTTGTAGCGCTTGATGGTTTTTGCGACTCCACTTGGGGACACATTTAAAGTTTTTGCAATTTTCCGGACTGACTGACCTTCATTTCTTAAAGTAATGTTGGCCACTCTTTTTTCTTTAGTTAGCTGATTGGTTCTTGCCATAATATGAATTTTAACAGTTGTCCAATAGGGCTGTCGGCTGTGTATTAACCTGACTTCTGCACAACACAACTGATGGTCCCAACCCCATTGATAAAGCAAGAAATTCCACTAATTAACCCTGATAAGGCACACCTGTGAAGTGGAAACCATTTCAGGTGACTACCTCTTGAAGCTCATGGAGAGAATGCCAAGAGTGTGCAAAGCAGTAATCAGAGCAAAGGGTGGCTATTTTGAAGAAACTAGAATATAAAACATGTTTTCAGTTATTTCACCTTTTTTTTTTAGTTCATAACTCCACATCATAGTTTTGATTCCTTCAGTGAGAATCTACAATGTAAATAGTCATGAAAATCAAGAAAACGCATTGAATGAGAAGGTGTGTCCAAACTTTTGGCCTGTACTGTAATTTAGCTATATATTATGGTGTTGGGTGGCCCGCTGACCAGTAAATGAAAATGGATTATTTATTTTTTTCTACTTTGAATGTTAATAAGGTGCTATGGTGCATTAAAAGCATCAAATAGAGCTTGATAAATCAAATTATATAAATTATAAATTTAATGGAATAAATGGAATCCTATCACTTTGCATAAGTGGCCACAGGCAAAGCAAGAGCAAGTTGAGTTTCCTTGGTCTAAAGCATATGCCATACAAACTGAAGCTAGAGGAACACACACCAGCAGAGACATGACAAAAATGAAAAAAAGAAAAGAACATTAAATACAGCGAAATGGGAAGTTAAGATCCAGGACATTAAACAGACAGAG